ACACACACACACACACACACACACATACATATATATATTTACAGTGCTGGTGATTCGACAGAGAGCTGGTGATCACAGTTCTGCAGTAAAGAGGGTTTATTTGCGGTGGATAACCTCTCTCACAGAGTCAATAATTACTCATTATTAGAATCATTAGTCTGCCAAATAATTAGACGAAGGACTGGAGCGCGAGAGCGAGTCTACGATGCGTTTTAGCACCACTGTGTTTCTTCGATGACCTCATTATAATCTCACACACGCCGCACAAGTCATTAGGAAACACTATCAGTCTTTACACACGGACTGATGTGCTGTCATTAGCCCATCCACCGTCATTCACACACACACACACACACACACACACACACACACACACAGGTTTGTTTTTGTGAAAAGTGGGGACATCCCATAGGTGTAATGGTTTTTATACTGTACAGACCGTATATTCTATTGCCCTACACCAACCCTACCCCTAAACCTACCCCTCACAGGAAACTTTGTGCTATTTCAGATTTTCAATACACTCCATTCTGTGTGATTTATAAGCGTTTTGAAAAGTGGGGACATGGGGTAATGTCCTGAAAAGTCACCTTCTCCTTGTAATACCTATGCCATACCGTTGTCATTATACAAATTTATGTCCTCATTTGTCACAAAAACGCGCACACACACACATATACACACACAGACACACACAATACACTACCATTCAACATTTTTGAAATACTTTTTAAAAATACTTTTATACTAAATTCCTTAAAAGTGACAATGACATTTATAATGTTACAAAAGATTCTATTTAACAAAGAATCCTGAACTAAAATGTATCATGGTTTCCACAAAAATTTGAAGCAGCAAAAACTGTTTTCAACATTGATAATAATTAAGAACCATTATTAATAACTGAGCATCAAAAATAATTATTATATATTAGAATGATTTCTGAAGGATCAGGAGTAAGGATACTGAAAATTCAGCTTTGCATCACAGTAATAAATTACATTTATTCATGAATTACATTTATATTTGTGTGTGTTTGTTAGTCTGACATGCTGCGCTCTCTGGCGACCACACGCCCCACCGTCAACACAGAAGACCTGCTGAAGGTGAGGAAGTTCACAGAGGATTTTGGACAGGAGGGCTGAACCACGACACTCCATTAAATCCCAACATCCATTCGTATGTAGCTGTCCCATCTCAACCAGGACTATCTCCTCTAACTAACCCGCAGCCTGACGGCCAGGAGCATGTAGTCTATTCTAACCTCTCTAATCGCCCAACACTACAGAACATCACATTCATCAGTTTGGAAAGACGAAAGCGCAAGAGAGAGCATGAAGCTTGCTGTAAATTGTTTTGTGTTTACATTTACATAATCAAATTGATTGATGTATTCATTTTATGAAGTTTTTTGTCTGTCTGCCCTTAATTCTGAACCGGCTATGAACAATACAGCTCTCAGCAAAGATTTATGTTAATTTATTTTATTTAATTTAGTTGTTTTGAGTGCAGATCACTTTGAGCTTTAAAAGTATCTTTTGTGTCCAGCTTAGTATTGCAGCACTTTACTGAATAAACGTGGTCTGGGTGAATCTCTCAAAGACACGTCTGGGTCACATTTCACCCCAGAATTAAACAGGAAAAAAAATAAATTGTATTCAGATAGAAATTGAAGCCTGTTTGGACATAATTATTAATGCTGATTATTTTGAGATTTGCTTCATGATGCAGTGTCACAATGCAAAAAATAGGCTTGATGTTCTTTAATCATATTTTGGGTATTTGGGTTAAGAAAATCAAGTCTGTTTTACGACTTTTCTGATTTTTTGCAGTGATACAATGTTTTCAGTGTATCTTCCTTTGCCTGTGGGCTGAAATATGACCTGGCCATGTGTTTGACAAGCTAACCCATCAACATTTCACTTATTTAAAAACCGATCAAGCAGATTTGTTGTAATGAAGTGTGTTACAGACCATTAGCTGTCATTCATTCTGAAGAATAACATGCTGACCTGATCTGATAAAAAATGACTTTTAAAAGTATTTGTGCTTTGTTCAGCTGTATATACT